CGCTTCCTCCGGCCCCCCCCCCTCTGTCCCCATGTCCCCTCCCCATAGGGCTGCCAGGAGCGGTCCATGCCTCCTCCCTGCCATGTTCCCCCCAAAAAATGCTGTAGAAAACGCGATCTCCAGTCCCAGGTGCTGCACCCCCTCCTGCTCTGCCCGCGTTTCCCTTTCAGCTCTGCGTCTCGAGCCCCGAACCCCCCCCTTAAAGATTAACACACTTAGAAGAGGGGCACATGGTCTGCATTAGCCCGCTGAAATGTGCATGTTATTAACACAACTCCTGTTGACAAAGCCACAGGTATTAACACCATAAAGCATTTTGACAGCTGGACCGAGGAGGGGGGGACGGACGGACAGATGGACGGATGGAGGGAGGGTGTGAGCAGCACCTCTGTGAGCTTTTAATTGCTTTTGGAGTTGTGGCAGTGGGGTTTTTTTTTGTGTCCTTCGCAGATGCTGCCGGTTGAGGAGATGGCCTTGAAGGGAAATAAGCTAAGTGGGAGTTCGGTATGGCACCATCAGCTCCGGAGCCCCGGCAGAGAAAATCGCTTCGCACCCAAGCGGGGAAGGGAGGGGATGCTACAGCTGGAGAGGGGCCCAGCGGCAAGCCTGGATCCGAACCGCCTGACGGGCGGGCTCTGCCTCTCCTGGCGAAGCACCCTGTCTAGGAAAGGCAAAACCCCTGGCTCTGAGCAATCCCCAAACTTTGGGCAGCAGAGAAAGCCACGTCTGAGGTCCGCGGGTCCGGCCAACCCTCGGCACGGCCGGAGCGGGAAGGCTCTACCTCTTCCCACGCAGCGCAGGTAACCAGCAACAAACACGGGGTGCCCACGGGGTTGGGGGGGGTCCTGGGGCTGCGGGTAGACCCGTTGGGGGGCGCGGACTACAGCTGTGGGTGCACATCTGGACCTGCCCGTGCGAGGAGAGCTCAGCAGAGCAGCCCATCTCCCCCCTGTGCGCACACACACCCTCCGGCTCAGTGGGTGTAATCCTGGGGGGGGCAGATCCAGCCCCACGGCAGCGGGTACCCCGGCTGCGCTCAGCCCCGACCCGGGGAGGCGGCTGTGGAGATTTGGGGGACAGGGAAGCGCAGCCCCACTGAAGCAGGCGGAGGGCTGCCCGAGGTCGGCAATTCCCTAGGGGGAAATAATTTGGAATCCATATGGCCGGGGACACTTCTCGCCTTTCCTGCCACCACGAGCATCCCCGGGGGAGCGTGGCCAGTCTGGTCCCACACTCGGGACTGTGGGTCTACGGGGGAAGGAGAGCCTCCGGCACGGAGCTGCCAACACCGCTCTCCTCCTCAGTCTTTGCATGAAACCTCTCAAGCGCCGGTTTTAATATCCTGCCCGAAGGGTGTCCTGCTGCCTAACGAAAGCCCCGGGACCCCCGTCAAATCCTCCCCCAACAAAAGCCCCGTTTCTGGCACAGGTAGGTGGGTCCATCCCCGTGTGCCCCCCATCCCCGGCTGCCCTTCTCCGGGAGTTTCCCTCTCTCCTGGTCCCCCCCCTCCCCTCCGTGCCCTGAAGTTCTGTCCCCGGCACCCGCCGAAGCTCTGCCCGTCCCGGGGGCTCACGTCGGGGGGCGGGGGACGGAATGAGAAGGTCTCACCCTTCGCTCTGGGCAGCGAGTCTGGAGCCGGGAAAGTCTAAGGGAGATTTTGGGGGGATGTGGGATGGCAGGAGGTGAAGGCATTGGGGTGTGGGCGGCTTCTCCCCACCCCCCCCATCACTGAGGGCACTGTCGTCCTTTTTCCCCTGGGTAAAAGGGATGCCGGAGCTCGGTGCGGTGGGATCAGAAGGACCGCCCAAGATATCCCCGTGAGTCCCCCATCACCACCCACCTCCCCGGACCCTCTCCCTTTGTCCCCAGCAGTGTTCT